CTCCGGGTTCAGTGTGAGAGGCCTCGTGGCCTCCCTTCTGTTTGGTTCTAGTCTTGCGAGCAAATGATGGCAACTTGAAACGACGCTTCTTCTTTTGCTTCTTCTGCAAGAGATTATAAAGTGACCCATTTTCCTGAATTCCTGCATTAGTTTGGTAAAATTAACGGTTCGGTTAAGTACCGATAGCCTAACTTAGTGACTAAAAAGACAAATGGGCTAGAAAAAGTTTTCATCATTTGGGAAGATTAGCAAGTCCTCTTTAAAGCGAATTAATAAATTGTGAGCACTGCATTTAGTGGTGCTACATTAAAACACTAATTACCAGTGAAGCTAGAAATAGCGTCCATTAGCTCGATTCCAGATAAAGGGAAATTTATGTGGAATTTAAATGAGGACAGTCATTCCTTATTTGAGAAACTCTGCAATACGGAAATAATTCAGACAATTGATTTATCAAAAAATACGGTTCTAACTCGAATAGGCTCTTGATAACTTTATTATGAAAACCGTCGACATATGAAATTCATAGGCTGCCTTTGGTCAATAAAAATGTAACAGTGGCGAAGTCTCACTCAGACTGGTGTGCGAAATTCCCATAATCGGTCAACGAGACGTGGACATCGAAGCTGTAAGCTGCTTTCTTATCAGGAGCACGTTAGCTGAAGTGGTGTAATCGAGCAGTCCAAGCTGAGCAGTCACATTTTTAAGATAAAGTACGTCTGAAAGAGGGGGTGTGCGATAGACTTGCCTCCACGTGGTGTACCCTGGGCAACGTATTCTCAATCAGCAAAAAGTCCATTGACTGCCAGTTGACTTCTGACTTCAAACTGCCATGACCCCACTCTATGTCATTTTCCACCGCCTCCACAGTGTTCACTTCACCTTTTTGTCTACCTTTTCTACCTTCGCCTTTGAAGCACTTTTCTTCCCCCCCCCCATCTCGACTTTTTTCACTTTGATGTTCCTTCCCCTCTGTGAAGCCTGAAGTATGTATGAAAGAGGAAGCTTAAGAGGTCATTCCCAGTGCTCCAAGTGCACAGGCTGTTAAAAGTAATCAGAGTGAATTTTTAAAAAATCCATTAGATTCTAGAATTAGGGAGGAAGGGAGAGGGGGGGAATTTGGTTGACTACTTATTCATAACCTATTCGCTCTCCACTTCACTCGATTTTCGCTTCACCGCGTGTTAAAGTCATACTTTTTACGGGCACCCTTTCATTGAAACGCGAAAGCTTACACGAGCCGAAAATAGTTACAAAAATATTATTACTTAAAAGTTGTTGGTACTAAAGGAGATTTAAATGAGCTGGATCGTCAATCAAGAGCAGGGCAACTTGGAAATGGAAACATGGCGCACAGAAAACAAATACATTATTTTCGTCAACACGAGATAACAGCATCAATAAGTTGGAAAATGGTTTCAATTCAAAGTGGCACTTTGAACAACTGTATTTTCGCAGGAGATGATACAAATTTTTTGTGAACAAAGCAAAACCCGACTTCCTTGCCAAATGAAATGCGGAAAAATTGTGATGAAAAGTTACCGGCCAAATCACATTGAAAAAAATGGTGTGTGATAACCCATTAATACCTCTTTGCGAATATAAACAAATATTTTTCTGTGAAAAATGACTTGTCCTACAACTGACCATGCTTCTTGATGTTTAAAAAAAGCACACGAATCTCCAATTCGAATCGTTTTAAAATTTTTTCGAGCTGTCTGAGTTTAGCGATGAATAATGAAATCAAAATACGTAATTGTACTCAAATTTGTGATTGGAAAGTTTCCAACCACTTCTTCAAAATTGAGTACTTTACTTTAACAAAGAAAATGAATGAGAAAACATTTTACTGTGATCTTGGGCTTTTTATTTAATATATTCAAAATATGAAAGGCTATATGAAACTGCACGAAACCCTTGGGTTTTACATGCAGACTAAGTTAAAACAGGCTGATATTTATCTCTTATCCACTGAAACTGTCTAACTAGTTAGCCAAGGTGACTGTGCTTTGCAGAGATCAACAATACTCCTCTTCAGATTAATTAAACTCTGTGGGGATTTTATTAAGCCGTCATTCAACGGCTGCATTATTTATAAATAAAGATGGAATATATTGACGTCACTGGGTGCGACCCAATTGGTATATAATGGAGATTGATAAATTGGGTGCATCGAAGTGGCCCGAAAGAATACCGGAAACACTCATCATTTAAGGCTGCATCAGGTCACTAATTTAAATAAGTTTATGGCGTTCTTATAAGGAGAAAATTTATTGATTTCTAATGGCAGGCGTTTTGATAGTTGTCATTAGCCCTTAAGCTGACGTTGGGCTTCACAGAGGGGAAGGAACAATCAAAGGGGGAAAAATTCGGGGGGGGGGGCACAGAAAAGTGAGTCACAGATGTAAACGGGTCAGTCACAATGGTAGAGAAAAAGGTAAGGTGAGTTGAGTACTGTGGAAGCTGTCGAATGACATACAGTGGGGTGATGATAGTTTGAAGTCAGAAGTCAACTGCCTGTTTATAGACTTTTGTCGTATGAGAATACGTTACCCAGGGTGCACCACGTGGAGGTAAGTCCATCGCACATCCCATAGAGAAAATTAACATTGTTGAGAGGAATTGACTAATTGGATGTCCTTTCCATCTTTCACTCCACTTTTGTTTACCTGTAGCAGTAAGCTTTGTTAAACTTAAAACCACTGTTTCCTTACTCGTGGGTAAAAATTCAGTCGGATATTCATCCCAATGATTATAAATAGGGGGTGTGCGATAGACTTGCCTCCTCGTGGTGCACCCTGGGCAACGTATTCTCATACGACAAAAAGTCTATTAACCAGCAGTTGATTTCTCACTTCAAACTATCATCACCCCATTGTATGTCATATTCCACCACTTCCACAGTGCTCACCTCGCCATTTTCTCTACCTTTGTATCTGTCTGTCTCTTTTACGTCTTTGAAACACTCTTCTGTCCCCCCCCCCCTCTCGACTCTTTTCACCCTGATGTGCCTTCCCTCTGTGGAGCCTGAAGTCAACTAAAGGGCTAATGATAGCTATCAAAATGCCTGCCATTTGATATAAATAAATAAATAAATGATTATAAATAATGTACTTTGAAAAGTGGTGGTAATTTCCCGCTGTAACCTATTTGAAAGAAACTGCAAAGTAAAGATGAATTTGAAGATGGGAGTAACATCCCTTCCCAGTACTGGTTATCTGCTTATTTCAAGGAAAGATCGAATACACGTGAGTTAACTCTTTTCACGTGGCATTTACCAGCACAAACACGACATTGCGTGGGTGGATATTGGTAGCCATAATCACGCACCGGAAAGTGAAAGTACATTATTGTTGTCTTAACACTGAGACATTGTTAATTAGTGGGGGGGGGGGTTCTTAATTATTGAGTGAAACTTGAAGCAAGTACTAGATATTGCCATATAACAGTCGAAAAGATTGCTGCTATCAACGGGGTCAATGCAATTTTTACAATACTTTAAATTCTACTTATAGGCAAAGCGAAAGTTCGTACTTCACCAACCCCAAAAAGGTGCGTAATTATAGGGAACAATAAAGAGGATATCTTCAAGGAGGATATTTTAGTTATTTAACCACTTAACGCTGGAACTAATTTTTGAAAAATGCACCCAACCGAACTCACGCGTGTCTTACAACAGGCTGATGCCAATGTGATGAGTTTCAGTGGTATCAGACGATGTCTATAGGCGTATTGAATATGTTCCAAACGGCTAAAGCGCTTTCTGTTACAAGTCAAGTACCAATGGAGCTTATTTTGAAAGAGTACCGTATGGTCTCGCAGGGCGTTAAAGGAGTAAAAAATTATTTAAGGTGAGCGTCTTTATGATGTAGGTGGATTGAATTAGTTGTTAAACAACCCTATCTAGTGAATATTCGAGTTATTTTCCTAATATTCAGCTGCACTCCATAGTAAAATTCAGTGCAAAACTTCTGGTAATGATTCCATTAAGATTGTACTATTAGCATATTTTTTATAATCCAATTTCGAACACGTGTCTCTAATTTCAATCATCATTAAGATAGAGGCTTCATGTTATCTAAATCTTTGTAACTCAAATTTTACTTTATAGGAAGGTGCCAGGACACAGCTCAACTTGTTGGCTTATCCGCAGTCCTCCAAATATTGAAGTTGATTGAGGCAGAGCGAACTGAGGGTAGGAACAGATTGCGTCCAAGACACTGGATTAGTGGCTAATCGGATTGGAAGTATGTCAGCAAGTGGGCAAGTGGTAGTCCGCTTTTGTTGGTGTCTTTTCCAAATTCTCTATTAGCAATAACTTTTGTTTATGAAGAGTGATGAAATTGGGTTCCCTACTCCAGACCACTAACATCGTCAGACTTCAAATCTCATTTCCTTTCTCAAAATCTTGAGTCTTATCGAGTAGCTATCACGGGCAACGATATTGCAGTAACGTAAAAGAAAATATTGACGTTAAAAAATGAAGTTAAGAAAGGCTCTTTCTATTGCATGGGTTATAATTTATAGTAACTAACGCTAAAAAGACCAGTAAAATAAAACCTAGATTCTTTCCCATTTTCGAATTTCAACATCCGTATATTTTCCGGCAATTATATTTTGTGTTAAACTTTTAAGGTATTTTCAGAGAATTTAAAGGGCATTAATGAAACGGCTCTTATTTTTGAAAATCCATTCTTAAAGTCTTGATATTTAATTATAAATGTATTATTTATATCCATTGAGTTAATTCTCGAATTTCTAAACTAAATTGATTACCCAATTCAGTTGATGGCCATTAATTTTTAAATTTCCTGTTTTAAAAATTCCCATTTCAATCGGCTGTACCTTTGATGTTAGTGGCTGAAGGAAGAAAATGAAAGTGTGGAAAAGTTAACAAAAGTTAACATTAATTGAATTATGAGAACATCGTTCATGATTCCAATCCCCATATTTTTTTCAGTATTGTAAAATGTACACATACTTCATTCTTCGAACATTTCTATCAAATGGCAGACGTTTTGAGGGTTATCATTAGCCCTTTAATTGACTTCAGGCTTCACAGAGGGGAGGAGTTGGAACATCAAAGTGAAAATGGTCGAGAGGGGGAAATGGAAGAGAGATTTAAAGATGTAAAAGAGACAGAAGGACACAAAGGTAGTTGAATCTTAGCTCAATCGATGAGAAGATGATTTGCTCCAAATGCCTCTAAGGTGTGCCAAGTTAGAACATTTTTTTCGTTCAGGCAGTAACCGATATGCCCATTAAAGCAACAACCTCACAATCAAGAATTTGCTTTATCTGAAACTTTGCCACAAAATGCTCTACTTTTTTGCCGTATGAGTATACGTTGCTCAGGGTGTACCATGTGGAGGTAAGTCTACCACACACCCCTGCTTCAATACATTTGAAAATATAATTCAGCGTTAGCATTTATTTATTTATATCAAATGGCAGGCTTTATGATAGTTAACATTAGCCCTTTAGTTGACTTCAGGCTTCACAGATGGGAAGGAACACTCATGGCAAAGAAAATAATATAGCAACTTTGAGCGTAGAGAGCGTTTATAAAGTGGTGGTAGAAACGATTCAGGGAGTGGCAGTGGGGAGGTGGGGGAGGGGGGGGGGGGGGAAGGTATGTCAAAAATTAAGGTCATATAGCGTCTCGTTTTCCAACTTATTAATATCAAATGGTAGGCTTTATGATGTTTATCATTAGCCCCAGAAGTCAACTGGCAGTTTATAGACTTTTTGTCGTATGAGTAGAGGTTATTCAGAGTGCACCACGTGGAGGTAAGTCTACCGCCCTTTAGCTGACTTTCGGTTTCACAGAGGGGATGAACATCAAAGTCACAAAAAGTCGAGAGGGGGGTACAGAAGAGTGGTTCACGTATGTAAATGAGGCAATCACAATGGTAGAGAAAAAGGAAAAGTGAGGTGAGTATTGTAGAAGTGGTCGAATATGTCATACAATGGGGTCATGGTGGTTTGAAGTCAGAAGTCAACTGTTAGTCTATAGACTTTCTGCCATATTTGTTGAGGTAAGTCTATCACGCACTCCGTTTTCCAACTTAATGCTTTAATTTAGGCATATATCACCGAATAACACCAGAATGGCATTATCTTTGACGATTGTGATTAACTCGCTTTTCAATTCCAGTAAGCTTTAATCCTCCAATTTATACCGTTCTATACTTACTCAATTTTTTTTTCGACTTACAAAAATCTATCTTTGAGGAATCATGTGTTCCAACGCGTGATCAGAAGCTCCCGATGCCCGCTCTCAAGAGCGCCAACTGTGAGCGCTTCTCCTAACATCATGAAACGCGGTTAACGCGGCCCGCAAATATATGACAAGGCCCACATTTCAAGATAAGGATGGCCTTGGCACTGTGACCAATTTATTGCACGAAAAGTGGGGGGGGGGGCGGTAGTAGGTGGGGCCTTGGGGCTATTGAAATTATACCATTTGGCACAGAACTGTGAGGTGTTTTCTTTGCGCGTCCAGTTGGAGCATTAACTTATCTGTATATGTGCCAATACCGCACTTCCCTCTTCACATCATTTTATTCACGTGGGTAAGCTTGACTTTCTATACGTGACGCACAACACATCTCAGGCACATGCGTACTTCGTGTGACCTATAAATTTTAACGTTATTGATTATATTTAATACATACCTGCACATCTGATCGTCTCCATTCAGCGTCTGTTATGAACGCGGTAATTAAAAATATGCCAGACATGTTTATCCAATAAGCGAATCCGGCCCACCCCCACCCCCACCC